GTGTTGTCACACGTCGATTAACTGGTGGGAAAATTTCCTCACCGTCACAACCCTAGTGAGAGGTACGAACACACACAGACACCGGCCTCCGCTCACGCTCATTCTGCATGCTATTATTAACCTGACAAACTCATCTTGTCTCATAGTTACATCAAATCAAATATCACAGGAGCATGCACAGGTCATACTCCCCTCAAGGCTGTAGCAAGAGAAAGTGCTCATGCAATCATAATAATATTCTTGTAAAATGCGTGTCCATCATGGTAGTATTAGTTGTACTGTCTGATACATGTGCATAAATATTAAAATACAAAAGAGTATTTTTCTATATAAAGTAAATTTTAAGTCTTTGTTTTAATCCTCTTTTGTTGTGCTTTAAAGACGTACACTTATTTTGTTGTGTTGAATAATGAAAAAGTGTTATTTTTCATTGAAATTAATATATTTTAAATTTACTAAATGGCAAATTCATCATTACAAATGTGTTATTGCAAATATGTTTAAATACATGATATGCATGTTTCAATAAATTATATTAAAGTATATTTTAGTTTATCATAAATACCTGTCTGTACTTTCAGTAGTACTTATTAGTAACCATAGTTAAAATATAATATGAAATTACATAAAAGATGTATTTAAGTGTGTCAAAAAAGCACTCAGCTAATTGCATTTTACATGCATTTAATATTTCGTTTAATTGCAGTTAAGTGTCAGAAAACATTCAGTTGTCACTGAAGTATATTCTTATAAAGTGTGTTATTTCAGTCATTAGCACTCTTCTGAAGTATGCTAAAGTGTGCTTGTTGTCACGAGAAGGGCTGCTGTGTGTGTGAATGCTGTGTGTGTGTGTGTGTGTGTGTTCAGGGTGGGTGCAGACATTACAGTTCTCAGAGAGAGGGAGGTGGATTATGACTCGGACGAGCCTCACAGAATCGCTGAGGTGCTCATCAGGAAAGTGCCAGATGATCAGCAGGTAAGCGTCTGGTGTTTGTGTCATGTTCTTCTGATGTGTTTGACGCTCTCAGGCCTGTGTTAATGGTGTTACGTGACGCATCTGCAGTTCCTGGACCTGCGGGTAGCAGTGCTGGGTAACGTGGACTCGGGGAAGTCCACTCTGCTTGGTGTGCTTACACAAGGAGAGCTGGACAACGGGAGAGGGAGAGCGCGACTCAACCTCTTCAGACACCTTCATGAAATCCAGACCGGACGAACCTCGAGTATCAGCATTGAGATCCTGGGCTTCGACAGCAGAGGAGAGGTGAGAACTGCTGCGCTGTGTGTCTCAGACAAGCGCAGACTGCCTGAAGAGCGTCGCTTTCCTGTGATCACACATATGTTTATTTCTATGATAGCATGTAAAGTTTCATTGTAGCTTGGCAGCTGTAAACAAACTAAGCTCAAAATGTGCCTAACCCCGTTTTATAGCAAGTTCTTGCTTGCCTGAACTTGTTTGGGACGTGTCCCGATTTGTATTTTTGCATTAGGTCTTGCCTCTCTTTCACTCTTCACACTTTAATAGCTGCCCACTAATAGCCACACAAATATATTTACTGTTTACACATTTCTACTGTTATGTACTGCCCAGCCGTAACTTCACCCTAAATGTGTATTATGGATTATCATAGAGCTGCACATTAAATCTCATTTTAATCGCGATCACGATTTCTGGTTCTGTCGATTTAATAATCATTATCCTCTGCGATATTGGCCTGCTGGTTTCTTATCCTGACAACATTTAATTTTACTTTGACATTTGTGTTATCTTGCATGGGTAACAAGCCTCCACAAGAGTTCATGTTTGCGGTTGCCAGATGTCAAGAGTTTAAAACCCTGTTTTCATAAATTAATACATTTTTTGAATGTTGGCTTACTTATTGTTCCCAACCTGGCAACCATGCACACACACTCTCCACATTATGGAAAAAGCACTCATGAGCTGAAAATACCTGTAAAACATGCAAGCTGGAATATAAAATAAACGTGTAATACAGGCAGTATGTTTTCTTTCATGCAGTTGTTTTTTATATAGTTTTTTTACCTCTGATTTTCTCCGCAATGTCTGAACTGTCCTGAGCGTGTTCGCGTCTTCTTCTTCAGCCGGCGTGTGAAGCGTCTTCTTCTTATTCTTGCTTTACGGCGGATCGCAGACTTTATAAGTGCATTACCGCCACCTGTCTCTCAAATGGACCATTGACACTCCTAATTGTGATTGTAGATAGAGTGTTCAGTTTCTTGCGCAGACCGATCGTTTCGTGTCTTTTCACATCAATGTATCGTCACGAGCCGCAGGGTTTAATTTGGTTTTGTTTGTGTATGTTTTATGACTCTCAAAGCCGTGATTCCCATCCACTTGCATTATATGGCTGACAGACTGCAACGGTTTGAGTTAAAAATCTTTGTTTGTGTTCTACTGAAGAAACAAAGTCCCCTACATCTTGGATGCCCTGAGGGTAAGCAGATAAACATCACATTTAAATTTTTGGGTGAACTATCCCTTTAAAATGCATACAAAATTTACTTTAATTAACAACAGTAACAGGTGCAAAATCTAATTTTTATATAGAAAATGTATATATTCCACTCTTATTAAATGTACCTTTATTCTTCTAGTATATGGAACTGACCAACTTCAGTGATTATGTGTGATTTAGTAGCAAACTGAAGAAAAGTTTGTTTTTCAAGGCACTTTGTGACTTTTCTTACTTTATACACAAAAAAGTGTAAAATTCTGACAAAATCTGATTTCTTGATGATTTGATATTATATTTTATAATAGTGATCTTATAATTTCAAAATATAGAGAAAAAGTAGAAATGAATGATTAGTAAGCCAATAAGTGCTCCTCTGCTGCCGTATTGGTTATAATTGTGATTTGATGTATTTTTTTAATTTTATGTAAGTGTTTGTTTACCACAAAGTATATTTTGGTCATCCCATTAAAAATAACATTCAAACGGGATCATTTTAGAGCTTTAAAGTGCTGGAAATAGTTGTGTGAAATGCTTGAAAGTCATTGAAAAGTGCTTGAATTTCTCTCTCAAAAGGTTGTACAAACCTTGAAATGAATGATGAAATGCATTCAACTATTTCTACCACAACACCATGGTTACAGTTAGCGTTACCGCTTCTGGTTTCCTGACGTATGTCAGTGCTGTTTATAACAGAATTCTGTGCAGAATTTGAATGATTCTCACTAGATCTTGCAGCAACCTTATCATTGTGCGGCGAATTCAAATGCTTCTCACTGGATCTCACAGCATCTGTGCTGTAACAGTGTCGCAAAATCAACTTTGGCTCCCGAGTAAAGCTGTTCTGAGCTCGAGCAAGTTTGTTTGTGTCGCGGTCTGAGCTGATGAACGGTCTGCGCTGCGCAGCTCAAACGTAGCGCGGTTTAGTTTCGTTTGCCATTTGATGTTTCTCAAATGCAACAGAAATGGCAGCGCTTATGAGTTGGTCAACGGGGTGGTCGCGCCAGTGTGACCACTCACAAAAAGTAGTCGCACCGCCAGAAAAAATGGTCGCAGTCTGGAGCCCTGACGTCTGACGCTGTGCCATGAGGCTGCTGTTTGCTTGAACCTTTTTATCTCAGATAGTGCCAGTCTAATAAATGTCAAATCAGGCAGGGCAAGTGACACAAATAGGCCTCATAATGTTTGGACACGTCAATCCTTCTTTGGCATGTAGTGATGAATCCGCTGTTCTCCCGGATACTAGCATATGATCTTATGTAATGCAGAGCGTCACTCTTAAGTGTCGCCCCCATTCCTTCTGTCTTCCATACCCCAGAATACCTCAAGGCTGCTCTGGTCCTGGACCAAAGTGGGTCTTGAATGAAAGTATAGGGAAACTTGAGACGTGGCAGTCTAGTTGTGACTGCAGGCCACAGGGCCACCCATCCACAGCCTGTAATTTACTCCTGTTCTGGTTTAATATGAAGAGACCGCTGTAAGTAAGCCATTTGTAGGTTAATTACTAGGGGTGCTCCGATCAGGATTTTTGAGGCCGATCACAGAAAGCAGTATCTGCCGATACGATCACCGATACCGATCTTTTTAAAGCCTTCGTTTTATCATTTATAACTATTTATAGTGATACTTCAATCAGGATTTTTAGACATTTATTCAGGGCCTGAATTTCATTTTTGAAAATGGGGTGAATTCCCCTCTTAGGTGTCTCTTGTGAGAGGAAGCAGCTTTCACACAGCAGTCCGCTACTGATAAGTGCAGTCCTATTAATTACCCTTATTCCATGGTCTGTCTGAATACTGGATTCTGATTGGCTGGCAGGTATGCAGTAAAACCGTTTATTGCACAGGTAGTTCCAGTCACTGGTAAGTTCCCTGACTCGCTGCACATTGGGACAGTGAACACTCGAATTCCAGTGATATGATTACGTACAGCGTCAACGGACAACACAGTAGAACGTCATCACTGGAATTAATAAACAACAGGCAGGACCAATCTAATTTTTATATTATTTTTTATTCTCTTTAAACACATCGTTCCGTTACATGTTCTTCTCACAACATTTCAACCGAATATTAATTATAAATGATAATTAGATGTGTTCATTACCTGTGTAGCGACGGTTTGTCTTTTCAAATCTTCTATCGCGTGTCATTATATTTATCGAGTTGACTCGTGTGGTTTATGCTTCACGCTTCAAAAATGTGACGTTATTTCCGGTAAGGGAGCATAGTGAGCGCCGATGCCAAAGCCACTAGAAGGCAAGCCTCCGGCCATTAGCCGAAAAAGCGTAACGGCTAAAGCTAATGCTTCCGATCTGGCAGTATGTGGGAAAGGAGACCAGAGCCCGTTTTGTTTGAATGGATGTCAATGGAGAGGCTAATCTTCAACATGTTTTACACTAAAAATAGTTCAACCCAAAAGTATTGTTTAGAGTTTACCACGAAAAAAATTAGGGCTGCCCTCGACTAAGGATTTTTCTGGTCGACTAGTAGTCATTCATTTTAAGCATTAGTCGACTAATCACACATTTATTAATAATAATCATTTAAATCATTATAATGAGCCTTTAATTGCCTACTAAGCCTAATAAGCGCTCAAGCACACTCATAAATCTTGCCACACTTGCGCAGAAGCTATGATTATGAATGTGTCGGGGAAAACAGTAAGGAGACTGCATTAACATTTTAATAATTCACTGATAAACTAGTGCTTTCTTTGTTCTCGGTTTAAGAGATGAAGTCGGAGACACTGAGACTGACTCGTCATCTCCGCAGTAGTGGATGCGTCTGTATGCATGTTTCACACGGATTACATAATCTGAGAATATTTGTTTTCCATTCGAGTTGATTCATTTGAAAGTAGACATTTCACTCATTTTTAACGTCTGTAAGGCAAAGATATACACAGAGTTTCGCGCTCAAGTTCACAGACCGAGACGGCAGAAAGCACATCATGTTTGCTTTCATTATTTTACAAAAGCGCAATGTTTTGTTGTTATTGTGAGTGCACACAAATAAACGTAGAGTCTTTGCAGATTTGAAAGATGTATTACTCTTATCTGTATGA